CTGGGCCACGCCTGGCTGGTTGGGGAGGCACAGCCTCCCCTAACCGGCCCTCCATACAATTTCGGAAACCCAATGCAGTCCTCAGGCCAAAAAGTTTGCCCGCCCCTGCTCCAGCACATCCAGCTCCTAACTCACCTTCTATGGAGCTGTTTGAAAAATGAATGAAAATTAGTGAAAGGTCCGAGTTGTCCAAACTCGGATCATATCCCAGAGCGACCCTCGAACTTCCAACCCTAAACCCAGGAGAGAGCCACAACCTCCCCTCCTCCCACACCTCAGCCCAGTGATCCAAACCACTGCGCCCCTTAGCAGGAAAGTCTGCTCCAGCTGTGCAAACAAGTCCCCAGCCTGCTCCCCCGGACACTCTGCGGAGCTGGGCTTGCTAGTTCCGCTTCCTACCTTGAGGCAGAAAGCCTTCTTAGCAGCCCATCGCCGGGTCATTCGCCTGCAATAGGGTGGCGGTAACGTGTACTGGATGCCCAGCTGTTTGCACGTCTGCTCAAAAGTCTCATAGCGGGTGCGACGCAGGTACTTGAGCAGTTTCTTCCGGCAATCCATGGCCATCAGCATGCGGCGCCGGTTACTTTTGTCCTGGAGAGGATTTCACATTCCGGAGCTGCAGTCAGACTGCAATTCCTTCCCGATACGCAGTTCTCAGCAGCCCAGGTTATTGCGGACGGGGACCCAGTCAGGTTCAGAGTAATATTTTAAGAACCGTTTTCTTTAAAGGATAGAACCGGCACCTCAGATTTTTATACGAAAATTTGAAAAGCCGAATGGCATTTTGCATTCGATTTACAATTTTTCTGCTAGAAGGTTAGCTTCAATGTGTGTATTCCCTTTTACTGCTCAATTACACCTTCCTCAGCACTAGCATAAACTGCAATGGCCAGGTGCCAAAGACTGCAGAGGAAGTCTCGCTGGCTAAAACCTCTGCTTCCATTTACATGGATTGTTCCACAAATCCTACAGAAGCATTTGGGACCAGTTTGACCCGGCAGGGTCCATTGGTTCGTCCTTTGCAAAGGAGGTTGGATAATTCAACCATGTTATTAGGGGGAATCTCTGGCTTCAGGGCAGAAGAACTTCCTGCAGGGGTCAGAAGCAATCCCCTCCCCACACTATATGCACAACTCTTGCACACTCTCAGCCAAGGACACGTCAAGTGTTTCTGTTTTCCGCTGAAACACAAGGTACAACTGCTGCTACAGGCTGGATATTGGACTAGCTGGACCCCAGTCCAGGAGAACAGCCCTTATCTTCTCCGACCATGTCTACGCTACAAAATTAAGTCAACCTAACTTACGCCAGAAGGAAATGGGTTTCTAGTTGACCTACATAAATATAAAATGTTAAATAACAAACACAGGAAAAGCCTATCTGCACTAGCAGCATGATTTGGTTTAGCTGTTGATTCAAATGCATCTAGTCAGTGGCTTCCTGCTCCAGGAACATATTTGGACAAATTTCAATCTTTGAAAATGTAACTGTGATCCACAGATTCTCCAGTCAGGTGCACCAAAACTCAAAGCAATGAACTATTGCCTACAGTATCCTCCAGCTTCAAACGCTACCAGTGACCTCACTGCTTTAGAAGGCAGGAGATACAGACATTTTAAAAACTGAATTAGGATCTTCCTCACAATTCAAATCCTTAAGTCTGAACCAAAGTACAAGACCCTCTGGCTGGTCTCAAATTTGTAGATTACATATCTAATGAGAATTACCTTGGGGTGCTTCTGCAGGTGCTCCTGGTGAGTTTGAATCTTGGCAGTTAAAATAGCAGCTATAAAAGAAACAAGAGATTGCATAAAAGCAGCAATGTGTTCTCGGACACGGTTGTTTTCTCAGGCTTCTGACACACTACAGTGGATACATTTTGGGTATCAGATTTGCAAAGAACTTTGGGCATTTGTACAGAATTTCTAAAAAAAAAAAAAATGCAAAACAAATCTTCAAAATTAAACACCCAAAACCTAAACATCAGTTTAAAATGATTTTGAAATTGTGTATTATGTATTAAGATTATTTTAACAACAATTGAGAGCCTGCCTTTACAGCTGAAACGCCTGCTGTCCTGCTTAACTGCTGACGGCTTTA